ATGGGGCTATGTTGTGGCGCGGTTCCTCTGGCATGGCCTGAATGGGCTGGTGACCAGGTTCTGCTCAGGTTAGTTCTGTTGCTTGGCCTGGGGATGAACTGTATGAAAGCGTTTAAGGCTCGTCCATAGTGAGACCTGCCCTGTCTGTTATTTCTTAAGCTTCCTGTGTGCCTGTGGCTAGCTCAGTAAGTGCAGGATTGGTGTGCACGCATGCATGGCTTATAAAACAACTCTGACTACAAATTCCCCCAAAAAGAATATGGCTTTTTTAATACAGAAAAACATGTGTTTTCCTTCATTTTTGTTAAAGTAGGAGACAAAGTTCCAGGCATTGTCTTGTTCTGCTGTCCCACATCAATTCCAGAGACAGACAGGGAGGGAAGTTTGCGCTCCTTCTCCTTTGAGTTAATAATTTATCCTTCATTTTGTTTCTGAATTGTGCCCCACTTCCCTTGTGCACTACTTGCATTGGCCCAGATAGCTTGTTGCATGCATGGAGGAGCCCAACCTTGGCCAATGGTTGTTATCTCCTCTGCAAGATGAGTTCACAGCCTCAGTGGTTTCCTAAAGATTTTCCTTTGCTGGATTTCTCTGACTCCCACCATTGCACAAAGTGCTTTCAGCAGTACCGTCCCTTATCCAGGCCAAGCACAACTTCACCTGGATAATGCCACCTGATAGCAGCATGGCAGGCATCTGGCAGGGATTCCAAGGGGTTTGTTTTGGGGGTTTTTTGGTACCTTTATGATTTTAAAAGGCTTGACTGTATGTGCCTATGTAGAAACACAGACACTGTTGTCTCCTTCATCCTTCTCCTTGCTTGTGAAACTAACTGTTAAAACTGTCTTAATTTAAATTGCAGTTTTCCTTAAGCAAAGGCTTTCTTTTTTTTTGGTCTGTATTCATACAGTGCACAGCACAAATCCCAGCCTGGAATGGGGAGCATTTATTAGACTACTATATAAACAATAATACACTGTCCAGAGCTAAAACTCAACAGAGCCGGGTGACTAATGCAATAGGTAGGTTTGTGATGCAGGGACAAAAGCCTGGGATAATGAAACATTTTTTCTGACTCAGAATACTATATCTGCCTCCAGGTGGGTGGACACATTGTCAGCTCACACAGGCCAAGTTAACACACCCGTCTTAGAAGTGGGTCTGACTGGCTAAGGGTTTGGATATGTCAGATGCCTGCTGTTGTGCTTGTGTGACACACTCCAATCACTGATTAAAAAACAAACCAACAAAAACCCAGCAGGTGAATTTACCTGCAAACAGGCACCTGCACAGGGCCCCTTAATCTGAAACGAGCAGTAGTTGGACTGGTCCTATCACTCTGCCCATTTCAGCCCTCTCTAAGCCTCCCAGTAGTGATGGACTCTTGTAGGTGGTATAGGGCTGGCCTGTTTTAGTGTTGTCAGAGCTCTCTGGTTTTCTTGGTTCTTATTTAATTTAATATCCGAGAGATGAATCGAGCCCTAAAACATCAGATCTTATTTGTGACCATTCAGAGTTTTGTAGGTCAAAATACAGGAATTGGAAGAGCCATCCAGTCCAGGCTTCAAAAGCAATACCCAGAAACCAGTAGGTAGTCGATGCAGAATGTGAAATACTGGTCTGGGGAACATGGTTTAGGAAAATGATGGGCTGGCAGGATGGAACAATCCTATTCTGGGAATAAAGCATTTAGCCCTTAGTGGGACCAAAGTGTAGTGCTTTTTTTGGTATCTGTTTACATGCCCCCAAGTATGTGTTTGGTGGCAGTCTAATCCAATAACTAGCTCCCTGTCACGCAGACATAATTACCGCATTACTCTAATTATATCAACCTTTTTTTCCTAAAGATTGATTCAAAAGAACCATAAAAATTGTGCCTGATTTATACATGGGGTTGCCCTATAGTTGGGCCCCCCAACATCTTGATTTTGGTACTTGCACTATTTTTGTGTATGCAATATAAAATACCAAATCAGACTTTTTCATCACAGTTTTTATTTTAGTGTTTTTAGTTCATTTAACCATTCAGGCCCTTTCCTTGGGTATTTGATTCTCCTATAAGATTTCATAGTTTCATAGATGTTAGGGGCTGGAAGGGACCTTACAGGACATCAGGTCCAGCCCCCATGCACTTGGGCAGGAAAGGCTGCTGGGATCAGGTGACCCCAGCAAAATGGGCATCAAGATACTTTTTGAAGATCGCCAGGGAGGGTGACTGTACCACCTTTGGGGTGAGCCTGTTCCAGACCCTTGGCACTTGACTTGTAAAGAAGTTTTTCCGTATGTTCAGTCTGAAGTGATCTTCAGTTAGTTTGTGCCCATTGTTTCTTGTCCTCCCCTGGTGGTGACTTGGTGAATAGATGCTTCCCCGGGCCCCGATGAATGCCCCTGATATACTTATAGGCTACCACCAAGTCCCCTCTGAGTCTTCTCTTCTCCAGGCTGAACAGTCCCAAGTCTTTCAGCCTCTCCTCATATGCCCTGGTCTCTAGGCCTCCAACCATGTGTGTGGACCTTGTTTGGACTCTCGAGCTTCTCCACATCCTTCCTGAAGTGCGGTGCCCAGACTTGGACGCAGTACTCCAGCTGCAGTCTCACCAAAGCCGAGTAGAGTGGGAGGATGATATCCTTAGTCTTGCTTGAGATGCCTTGGTAGATGCGTGCCAGTGTTTGATTAGCATTGCCAGCTAGCTATAGCATCGCATCGGTGGCTCATGTTCATTTTGTGGTCTATCACAACACTCAGGTCTCATTCAGTTGTGGTGCTGGCAAGCAGAGCGCTGCCGAGCACGTAAGTGTGTTGCGGATTATTTCGCCCCAGCTGGAGCACTTTGCATTTCTCCATGTTAAAGGTCATCAGGTTGAGGTCTGCCCATCTCGCAAGCCTGTCCAGGTCAGCCTGTATTGCCACTGCTGTAGCGCAAGGGCCACAGCTGTTCAAGGTCTTGAGCTGGAGTTGCCAACTTATATTCAGGGGAAATACTGTTTTTCCTCAAGTTGAACCTGAAACTGTGGGCTTTATAAGATGACCTTACGTATAAATCATCAGTCCAATATGGTAAAAAGGGTCCTGTTAGTTTTACATAACAATTGACTGTGCCTGGTTCCTCATAAACTGCCTTCCAAACATTTTTGAGAGTTAAAGATCACACAGAGATGTTAACAACGGTTAGTGTATGAGCACCCTGAGACCACTGCCTTTTGTGCTGATGGTCCCTGATCCTCTTCTCATCTGTTTGTGTCCATCGGTTGCCTCTTGTCTCACACTTCAATCGTAAGTCCCAGAGGTGGGGAGCATTTGTGTTTGTGCAGAGCCTGACCCAGTGGGGTGCTGGTCCATGGCAAGGGCTCCAAAGCACTAGGATAACAGCGCTAAAGTGTGAAGTAGATGGCTAGCTTTGTTAGAAGCAGGGCAGAGTTGCACCTGAAGTGAGACAGAGGCGGAGGCAGAGGAGGCCATTCCAAATGGCAGGAGACTCCAGCTGGGAGTCCATTACCACAGTGATAAAAGGCAGGGAGAGAGAGAAGGCAATGCTAGGCCAAAAGCAGGTAGGGAACAGCAAGACAAGATAGCCTGCAGCAAATCCATGAAGTGCAACGGTGCAAGCAGGGAGGGCAATTCTGAGCTGAAACTTGAAGGCACAGCGAGTGCTTTGGAGTGTGTGGCGGTCGCACAGCTCTGTACCTGCAAGGTGGGCAGCAGGCTGTGATGGCTGGGAGGCCGTTTCTGGGTGGAATTTATTTATTTATTTGCCTCCACAGCATCTTGATGGTTTAATGGGTTGGAGCCAAGAGGTCCGAATATTGGTGTTGCTTTATTTGCTTGCTGGATCAGGAGTTGGCGAGGCGTGCCTGTGCAGCCCAGGGGCGACCTCCAGCCATATTCCAGCTCTTCACAAGTGTTTCCCTTGTGCGGTTCCATGGCCCCTTTTAGGTGGTGAGAGCAGTTGCCCTATTTCTGGAGCATCTTCCCCTTGGCATGGCCAACTTCCCCCTTTTTTTTACCTAGGAAAAGAGTGCGGTGCGTGCAGAGCAGCCCTTTGCTGTGTCCTAGCTGGGTTCCCCCCGTGTTCCTGCACTATCCTGGTCATTAATGTTTCATACTAATGTATTCTAATGTACTTAATTTCTTACGTAGTGCAGTTTCTACTCTTCAGGCACGCTGCATCAGGCTGGAAGCGTTGCGCTCCCCGCAGGCCCGGGCCCTCACGTGCGAGTCGCAAGGCCGGGCAGCATATGCTCGCACCCGGCACCAGCCGCGAGGCTCCGGGCGGGCGCCTGGTCCCTGCTCCGGGCGGGGGGGCACGGCCGGGCCTCGGGCCAGCCCCCTGCAGGGTGGGGAGGTAAGACAGCGGGGCCGCGGCCGGTGTTTGTCGCTGAGGGGCGGAGGGGGTCAGTGTGCAGGGCTGAGGGGCAGTGATGGGCGATGTTCCCCGTTGCTGCCAGCTGTGTCCCCGCCCCCCGCGCGTGTGAGTGGCGCAGGGGCGGACTAGGCCCCTCCATCGCCATGGCAACCCTGGGCCTCTCGGTTGCTCCCTGCGCAGTCCCCATAGCAACCGGACGCCTCGCCGCCTCTCCACCGAACTTCAGCCCTCTCCACGGGGTAGCCTTTCAGCCAGTCAGCGCGGCCGCAGAACAAGCCCGGCCGCTCGTATTGGGCAGCACAGCCGCGAGTTCCCGCCCAGGCCCCAGCAGGGTTGAGCGCCTCGTCGCAGCCGTTGTGGAGTCACGCCGCTCTCCCCGCGCCCCGCGCGGATTGGCCGGGCGGCGGCGGGGATGGGGACGGCGGGCTCCGCGATTGGCCCGGCGCCTAGTCCGTCCGCGGCGGGCCGGTTCGAACGGCGG